CCTCAACAGAGTACTTAGGTCTTATCATTTCAGAAAATGAAATCCGCATGGATCCGGTAAAAGTAAAAGGAATCATGGAATGGCCAGAATGCAAATCAAAGAAGGAAGTACAGGCATTCTTAGGTTTCGTGAACTTCTACAGAAGATTCATAGAAGGCTTTGGGTTGATCGCCAAGCCATTAACGAAATTGACCGGGAAAGTAGAGTTTGTGTGGGGACAGGAACAGATCGACACTTTTAACGGATTAAAAACCCGTGTCGGATCAACTCCCGTACTCGCCTTACCAACTGATGACGGCCAATTTAAGATAGAAGCTGATAGCAGCGATTATGCTATGGGGGCAGTTCTTTCACAAATGCAAGACGGGAAATGGAAACCGATTGCATATCTCTCAAAAGCGTTAAACCCTACAGAACGCAATTATGAGATCTACGATAAAGAACTTCTCGCTATAATGACTGCGTTAGAAGAATGGAGGCATTATCTCGTTGATGCTAAAGAGGTGTTTGAGATCTGGACAGACCACCAGAATCTTCTCTACTACAAACAACCTCAAAAGCTCAACAGACGACAAGCTAGATGGGTCATGGAATTGAGCAATTACCACTTTACGCTCCATCATATTCCAGGTACCAAACACATCAAAGCAGACCTTCTCTCGAGACGAGCAGATCATGAAAGGGGGGTGGATGACAACGAAGACGTAATCGTTCTAAAAGCAGAACACTTCAGAATGATGATTTCACACACAGAAAGACAACGCATGGCAGAGCAATCAGCCGATGCAGTGGAATTATACAAATGGATCTGTAAAAGAATGATGAACGTAGACGAAGTAGCGCGAAAGATGATAGAGAAAGGGGAGGACAGAGAAAAAGGCATATGGATGGAAGACGAGATGTTGATATTCAAAGGAAGGATCTATATTCCCAAAGACGGGAAATTACGAGAACACATCATAAAAGAAAACCATGACTCCACTGTAGCAGGACACCCCGGACAGTATAAAACCAAGGAATTGGTAACTAGATGGTATTGGTGGCCGTACATGGACAGAGACATCCGAAAGTACGTAGAAGGCTGTGAAACGTGTCAACGCACAAAGATTAATCATCAAAAGAAAGCGGCACCGTTACACCCGAATGAAATCCCAACCAGACCATGGGAAATCATTACCACAGACCTAATCGGACCATTACCGGAATCTCTCGGTTACAATATGATACTTGTGGTAGTAGATCGATTCTCGAAGATGATCAAAGTCATGCCGACTTATGATAAAGTGACGTCAGAAGGAGTAGCCAGATTATTTAGAGACAACGTCTTTAGAAATCACGGCATACCAGAGAAGATCATTTCAGATAGAGGACCGCAATACGTCTCTAACTTCATGAAAGATCTCTATAAGCTCCTCGGGATAAAAGGAAACCCCTCGACCGCTTATCATCCTCAGACAGACGGACAGACAGAACGAATAAACCAAGAGATAGAACAGTATCTCAGAATATTCGTCAATCACAAACAAACAGACTGGGCCGAATGGTTACCACTAGCGGAATTTTCTTATAACAATAAATCACACTCTGCAACTGGCTATAGCCCTTTCTTTTTAAATTCAGGACAACATCCGAAAGTCGTAAAAGGAATTAGAAGTACGGTAAAGACAGAGAGTGCGGAGGAGTTTGTAAAGAGGATGGAGGAAACAAGGAAGGAGGCAGAAAAATCGCTGGTAAAAGCAGCAGAAAATATGAAAAAACAATATGACAAAGGAAAGAGGGAGGCTATTGCATATAAAGAAGGAGACAAAGTATATGTTGAAGCGGAACATATAACCACCGATAGACCCGCAAAGAAACTTGACGATAAAAGACACGGACCTTTCCCCATTGAAAAGAAAATAGGCGAAGGAGCCTATAAATTAAAACTTCCTGGACGATGGAAGAACATACACCCGGTCTTTAACGAAAAGTTACTCACACCCTTCAAAGAACCAGAGTTCGAAACTCAAAAGAAACCAAAAACCGCACCACCGGTGATAGTGGAAGGAATCAAAGAATATGAAGTAGAAGAGGTTCTAGACTCACGATTGAAACGTGGGAAACTAGAATATTTGGTACATTGGAAAGACTTTCCAAAAGAGGATCGCACGTGGGAACCCGAATCTAACCTAACACACTCACCAAAACTCGTAAAACAGTTTCATGATAAAAACCCCAGTGCACCTCGAAGGATAGAATTTACTTTAAATTACCAACCATTCGAAAACCTCACCATTCCAACTCGTATTCGAAAATCCTTATATAACTGGGAAACCGGAAAGCTAGACTCTCACTTTCGGGACGAAAGTCCTAAGGAGGGGGTAATGTCACGATCGTACCCATGTGACTCATCTTTTTTATCTAATCGCGAGATAGAGACTATTACCTCACCTTATCTAATCTCTCCTTGATCTTATCTTATCTAGTAATCACGTGACACATTAGTAATACTCATTACCAATCAGCCTCACGCATTACACATGTTACTTACCAATACGCTACGTCATACCTCACCGTAGCCTCATGTCTTCTTCTATATAACTAGCACGATATCCATGTACATACCCCAGTTGTAGATTTACTCTTATACTTGCTTGTCAGACACTTGTTGTGTGATTTAAGTCCTACGCTGCTCGGGTTACCGGCATAACAGCTAGGGTCTTTACACTTACCAATGGACTGGTTGTATTGGACCACCTGGTCAAACGAGGGAGGGAGGGGAGTAGTTCCAATTTGGAACAAGTGAGTCCCAGGCAGTGTATGGTAGGTGTAGCTGTAGCGAAGACGATGGACGAAGGATAAATGTACCCAAGTGAATGGGACAGTGATGTACATAGGCAACGCAAGGGGATGAACCTTCTCCAGCTCGAAAACTACCCACCCATGCTCCAACCAGGCGAGATGAGCAACCAATGATTTGATAGCATACAATGGAAGATCGACGTCATGTGTTCAATTGAGAACTTCTGGGAAGTGTCTAGCCACTTGCTGAGAGCTAACAGGGACAGAACTAGAGTCCAGTATGAGTAACTATATTATCAGAGAGTACAGAATGTGTACAGTACCTAGAGTCCAGTATGAGTAACTAAAGAATAGGAATACTGGACTCTGCAATACTAGTCCGAAATTTTGTAAACAAATCAGCCACAAAGGCGAAATTATAGAATGCTTAGTGAATACTGAACAATACAGCAAAAAGAATAAAGAGGAAAGTGATTTAGAAAGAAGGGAAAATAGATAGCACAACTAGGTGCAGAATCACCAAAACTAACATTGCTTTCCATGTGTGTAGCCAATTATTATGGCTTTGCGCCCCTTGGAGTAAAACTTCCCTTGCCTTTTGTCTTTCAGAATCAAGGCATATGCTTGGCATCCGAAAGGGCAAAACAAAGTTGGATCAACTCTCCTTTTAAACAGTATTTCATATGGGGTCTTTCCATGGAGTCCTGATGCTGGGCTGCGTGCTGTGATATATGCAGCTGTTTGCATGGCATCTACCCAAAATGACTTTGGGAGCTTGGAATCATGGAGCATAGTGGTTGCTAATGTAGCCAATGTCTGATTCATGAGTTCTGCAATGCCATTTTGTTCCGGAGTATCTGCAGCTGTAGTTTCTTGGAGGACACCATCTCCTCGGAGTTGATTTTGAATGCATTGCCAGTATATTCTCCTCCCCCATCACTCCGGAGGAATTCTGTGTACAGTGGAGTGAAGTTTTCTTCTCCCAAATGAGTTCGGAAGAATGTTTGGACATCTTCTTTCCATTGCGTGTCTTGTTCCAGTGCTTCACTTTTGTGCTTTAGGGAATATATCCATGGAAATTTGGAGAAATCATCTACAATAATAATCCAGTACCAAAAACCCTCCCTGGAGGTTGGTTTGATTGGTCCTCCAACATCCGTGTGCACAATTTGTATGGGGTGCTTGGCTCAGTTTCCTCCAGTGGACTCAAAAGGTAATTTCTTCATCTTTCCTAAAACACAAGGTTCACAGAACTCTGGGGTTCTGGTAAGGGTGTTTATGTCCTGAAGCTGTCCTTTTGTAACCATTTGTTGCAAGTGGTCCATTCCAATGTGTCTCATTCTCCTGTGTAATAAATTTACATCTACTGCTGCAAAAGCCAACTCTGGGTTGATTTCGGGTTTTGCTTGGATGTGATAAAGTCCTCACTTTGTGAGGAATCAATTTTTCTCATTGCATTCCCATCATGTTGTGGTTATTCAACTCGTTCCCCATCACTCCTCTTGCCCTTGGACTAAAGATCACAGCCGGTATCTTATTACTCTTATCTTTCTTCTTCTTATTTTACATTCATACTCATGTTTTATCATACTTACAACAAAGGAGAACTGTTATAGACCCTCAAGAAGATATCCAGATAGCATGGCAACGATTCAATGCTATGTCTGGGAATACTTTGGAGAGATGTTAATCAGCAATATAGGCTATGACTCGGCGCCTTCTCATGGGCTTACTGATATAGCCAATCGTACATCTCTTACAAAGACTCTCTCTCACACAATTAGTAAATACAATAGATCAGACCACTTCCCCTTTTTCTTATTGGATAACCATTCAGTCAGGCCACTCTTGTACTTTCCTCTTTTTCTGGCCTGACCGCTATTATTCAGTATATAAGGAGTAGATATTCCAAGTATTGTTCTTTAGTTCAATATTAGTTTGGATTTGCGCCTATATCAATACTCTTCAGCTCTCATACTCTGATCCACTGCCTTTTATCAAGGACTAGGCCAGGCATTGATTGTTGTTATATAGCTTTGTATTTATTGCCTGACACATTTGTGTAAGGCAGTGAGGATAAGTTCCTTCTTTTTTTGAACATCACAAGCATTGGACCCTGCTCAAAAAAGTGTCGATAACCCCGCTTTAGACAATTTGTGGACTGAGACAAGTGCTAAAGTGAAGTTTGGCACAAGTAAGACATTTGACAGTGCAATATTTTAGTCCTTTTTGCCAACAGTTGCTTGTAGGATTACTATTCCAATTTCAATGGCATTTACAGAGAATTCATCCCCAAAACTGATTGTCCTTGGAGGATTCAGAACATGGTATGTTCCTGGCTCAAACCAGGAGCAGTGAGGGACCATGTGAAATATTGCTCCGGAATCAATGATGATTGTTGTTTTGGTCTTATTAGGTTCCAACACAAGGTAAGCTTGAATGCATTTAGCAAGAGGCCTGGAAATATGTACATGTTCCGATGCAATATGTCTCTGTTCCTCCTCAAAGTCAGATCCAGATGATTGCTCCGCCGTATTTGCCTTTTCCTTCTCTTTTCCTTTATCCTTGTGTTTCTCCTTTCCCTTCTTCTTTTGACCTTTCCCAGCTGACTGAAGTGTTCAACACTCTGAGGTGTTTTGTGATTTGACTTTGTGGAAGTCACACCACTTTTCCTCGGACTTGGGTGCTGATTCAGAACCTCCAGGAGCCTTTCCTGACTGTCATGCAACTTCTGCAGTGATCCGGATCTCAACTGCATCAAAGGTAAGTTTATTTTTTTCAATCATGTTGATTACTGATGACTGAAATATTTGCAATTTAGGAGTGCATGGGAGAGATTGAAGAAGAGCGAAGGCCATGAGTTTGGTATCAACTCCTAGTTTCATTCCGGAGAGGTGTGAATCAATTGTCCAGATTTTTGCAATGTGGTCCTGGATAGGTGATGTTCCATCCCAGGACAATTTGGTGAGTTGCTGGAATGAATAGAAGGCCAAGGCAATATTGGACGTCTGATGGAGTGAAACAAGTTTGTCAAATAACTCCTTGAAGCTGATGAGGTCTCCAGTCCTCATTAGGAGGGCATCAGAGATGTCGTCCTGGATGATTCCATGTGCCTTCTCATCCTTAAGTATCCAGGTGATTTCAGGATCCTCTAAGGAGGTGGGCCTTTCTGGTGAGGGCTCAAGCTTGTAAAGCCAAGCACCCCATACAAATTGTGCACACGGATGTTGGAGGACCAATCAAACCAACCTCCAGGGAGGGTTTTTGGTACTGGATTATTATTGTAGATGATTTCTCCAAATTTCCATGGATATATTCCCTAAAGCACAAAAGTGAAGCACTGGAACAAGACACGCAATGGAAAGAAGATGTCCAAACATTCTTCCGAACTCATTTGGGAGAAGAAAACTTCACTCCACTGTACACAGAATTCCTCCGGAGTGATGGGGGAGGAGAATATACTGGCAATGCATTCAAAATCAACTCCGAGGAGATGGTGTCCTCCAAGAAACTACAGCTGCAGATACTCCGGAACAAAATGGCATTGCAGAACTCATGAATCAGACATTGGCTACATTAGCAACCACTATGCTCCATGATTCCAAGCTCCCAAAGTCATTTTGGGTAGATGCCATGCAAACAGCTGCATATATCACAGCACGCAGCCCAGCATCAGGACTCCATGGAAAGACCCCATATGAAATACTGTTTAAAAGGAGAGTTGATCCAACTTTGTTTTGCCCTTTCGGATGCCAAGCATATGCCTTGATTCTGAAAGACAAAAGGCAAGGGAAGTTTTACTCCAAGGGGCGCAAAGCCATAATAATTGGCTACACACATGGAAAGCAATGTTAGTTTTGGTGATTCTGCACCTAGTTGTGCTATCTATTTTCCCTTCTTTCTAAATCACTTTCCTCTTTATTCTTTTTGCTGTATTGTTCAGTATTCACTAAGCATTCTATAATTTCGCCTTTGTGGCTGATTTGTTTACAAAATTTCGGACTAGTATTGCAGAGTCCAGTATTCCTATTCTTTAGTTACTCATACTGGACTCTAGGTACTGTACACATTCTGTACTCTCTGATAATATAGTTACTCATACTGGACTCTAGTTCTGTCCCTGTTAGCTCTCAGCAA